CCGGTAGGATTTTCCATATAGTTTGATTTATATTTTGTGCTAAGCAGGAAAAAAGAAAAAAAAACCCTACTTTGACACTATTACCCCACTCTTCCCAGGCTAACAAGTTAGTAATATTTCCATGCTTTTAGAGAACTAACCTGGTGAGCAGCCTTGCCTCCTCTCCCTGCACAAAGAGGCTCTGGCAAAGATGAAACTAAACTAACTTTGGCAGCCAGTAGTAAAAAACATACAAGTGGGAGGTAACTTGAAGGGGGAGGTCTGGAGCTGGGCCCTGTCCTTACAACCACAGACTTTACAAATGCAGAACACAGTAATTTATTTTTCCTTTTCCCAAGATTAGTTATTTCTTTTTTTAAGAAAATGTTTGCATGCTTATTGTCTTATTCCCTTAACTTTGCCCACATGATGTTGCTGCTCAGGGAAGAGCAGTTCTGAATAATGTACTTTTATCAGAACAGACATACAGGTTTTCATTTCTTAGAAAACACATCCTACATGGGGAGGCTTTCCATAATAATTAGGCTGATTCCCTAAGTGCTTGTCACTGGCCGTGTAGCCCAGCCACTACAATAAAATTAACTGAGCAATTACCACACACATAAATTTCACTTCATAAGACACTGATATTACAGTTTCTACACTGACATGCCCCAAATACGTAACCACTCATGTCCCGTGCAAGACAGTTTTGGATGCACTTCCAAATTTTGTGGAGAATCTGTGGCACTAGGACAGCACTTTTTGTTTCCCAGCAGGATGCACACAGCATGCAGAGATCCCAGAGAGGGTCTGGGTGGTGTTTCTCAGGAGCAAGTCAAGCTCAATGCATCCCATGGGAAGTGCTGATGCTGAGATTCCCTTCTCTCTCATCCTCATGAAGAATGGGGAAAGGAGAAGTTTGGGCTGAACTTCAATATGGCAGCTTTGCCAACAGGCTGGGACTTCGGGTGCTTTATGGGAAGGCTTTTACCAGTAGTGCTGCCGAGAAAACAGAGAGATGTGCCTTGAAATGCTTCCCTTGGCTTCCAGCAGCTCCAAAGTTTCTGTGTCTGTCCCTGCTTTTTACAATGGGGCTGCCTGGCCACTCCCTGGCTGGCTCATACACAGTTGGTGTTCTTTGTGAGAACATTGCAATAGGCTATGAAAACTGAGGTTTGCAAAAAGTTGTGAATCAGCAGATTGTCCCTGGAGGAGGAGATGCCTGACATCCCAGCAGCTGGCTGGATGAGGCTCATGGCCAGAAGTCTGCTGGGGAGGAGGGAAACAGGAAGCTGAAATGCAGTCAGGTTTTCTAGGTGGTAAGAAGGAAAAGCTCCAGAGAGACCTCCGAGCACCTCCCAGTACCTAAAGGGAGCTACAAGAGAGCTGGGGAGGGACTTTTCACAAGGGCATGTAGTGACAGGGCAAGGGGGAATTGCTTTGAACTGGAGGAGGATAGGTTTAGTCTGTATTACAAAGAAATTCTTCATTATTGGGGTGGTGAGGCATTGGAATAGGTTGCCCAGCAAAGCTGTGGATGCCCCATCCCTGGAAGTGTTCAAGGTCAGGTTGGATGGGGCTTTGAGTAACATGCTCTACTGGAAAGCATCCCTGCCCACAGCATAGGGTTTGAAACTAGATGATATTTAAAGTCCCTTCCAAACCAAGCCATTCCATTTTTATTTCTAAGAGGACAATGGAAAAATTCCACTGAAATCAATATTCACCAATTTAACATGCACTACAGTAAATGCAATACTGATGAGGATTCAGGAGCACAAAGGTATTAAGGAGGATTAAAAACATCTCCCTTAATACCTTTTTGCTTTCTCTGCAAAGGACAAAGTATGGATTACACAGTCTACCTCTGTATTTTATGGAGCAGCTACAAGCAGAAACTCATCTATTCCAGTTTGGGCCACTCACACGTAAAAGTTTGTGCTTGTTCTCTGTACCACTTAAAAGAAGTCCAACCTGCAGCTTCAAACATGACCACAAATGAACAAAGCCACTTTCCCCAGCACGCTGCCTTGTACTATTTACACAAACTAAGGTGTCTTCAGTGGTAAGAGGTGTGTTCTTTCACAGAGGATCCATGAATCCCATTGGTGTGCAGGTCAGGGGGGCTGTCTGGCACAGGAGGGTGCCTGGAGGCCTCTCTCCAAAGCTCTGGTCCCACCAGTCCTTTCCGGAGACAGAGCTCTGTTTCAGACATGGAGAAGGTCTTCTGAATCAGAAACTTCACCTTTTTGCTAGATGTCTCCACAGATTCAACGGAAGAACATGTTACCCACAAACCTCGCTCTCTTCCCACAGCTTGAAATGGCTCAGGCAGAAGGGAAGTTCCTACAATGGTAAAAGCTGCAGGAGAATGGAACTGAGAAAGTGCAAGGGGAAATTTTCACAGCCCTTAGAAATATAGCTGAGGGTCAGTTGCACATCTCACCAACACTGAAGCCATTGCAGTTGCTACAAGCAGGGAGCTGCTCCCATGTCTGCACATCCCTCATCTCTGCCATGCCAGGAACACTGCACGCAGTGGAGAGAGTCTTGGGTGGCTGATCAGAGAGGAAATGATACTATGCCTGAGAGTGTGCAGTGTGTCCGGGGCCTGAACCCCTGTGCCACAGGCACCGAAACATAAAGTCCAGCACAGTGAAGAGCTCCCAGCCAGGGCCAAAGGGTACCACCAGCTTCACAGCCGCTCTTAGTCACAGCTGGTCACACCTAAAAGTGGTTTGAAATCCCTCTACAATTGCATGCTAGCACTAACAATGGTTTGTCACAAGATGTTTCACACATCTTGTGTGAGAAAGACATCACACATCTTGTAGCTGAGCTTCTGCTTCCTGTGGCTTGCTACCTTTTCATGCTTTCAGTGGTGCCACTCTTTCTCTAGGTCACTCAGACTTATGGGATAATATCCTGTGGGAATCAAGTTTTACCTCAGGAGCTCACAAGGTAAAAAACAACTAAAGTAAAATCAACAAGTCAATCCCCTTGTTACAAACGGATCAGTCCAACTTACACATTTTGTAGTCTGCTGCTTCAATAACTGCCTAAATCTCACTGAGTTCACCTGCACGCAAGCAGAACTACCAGAAGGTGCAAGTGCGGATCTCCCTGTACCCATCCCCATCCCCATAGAATGGTGGGAAGCAGGAGAGCACTTCAGCTGCTCTTGGGTCAGCTCCAGAGGCTTTCTGGAGTAAGCTGGCCCATGGCTAATTTCCAGCTTGGACATGTGCTCTTTGCCTTTTCTATGGCAGTTTTATCCCAAGCTGATGGCTTCCTCCGGAGCAATGCAGGGGATGATGGACCTTCCCTTCTGCTGTCCCTTGTGTCTGCCACACGGGGTGTCCTTGCTTTAACACCTGAGCAGGAGTGAAGTGAACAGCCACACAGGATGCATCATAAAGTTAATCCAGCATTAACCAAGGTATTAGCAAAAGGACATCCAACGCACTTTGCAACGGTATTTGGTGGGTGAAAAGTATTTTTTTAATGTATTGATGTTATTTAGCAGAATACATTGTACTGTAGATTAAAAAAGGCCTTTACTACTTAATAATAATAATGTTGTTTCTTAAGACAGATGGGAGAAGGTATTGAGAGATGATGTGCAAGATGGGAAAGCTGTATGGCTGCACACCTTCTGCATGTACATGACTGCAAGTGCCCCTCAAAGGAGAGCTTTGCTTCTCTATGACAGTCTCATGACCCAACATTGCTCACCCTGATGGAAGGGTAGGTTATAACCTCTGATGGAAGATCCCCAGCAGTTTAACCTCCATTTTTCTGACTTAACATGTCATAAATAAATCAGCACTGAGCAGCTTGAATTCTTGAAGGCAACATTTTGCCTCTTGTTTCCCCTCCTGCCACTGATTTCTCAAGCAAACCCCAAAGACAGCAGATAACACCACTCACTGCCTCTGCACCTGCCGTGTGGGGATGGTTTCCCTATGTGCATGTCCCAGGATGTCCCCTGGCAGCACAGCATCTCACAGCTGAGCTGAGACACAGGGAGGACTGAGGGAACACTTCCCTCATCCTACCCAGCACATGAGAAAAAACCCACCAGTAGCTGTCCCCAGGTGCTGCTAGCAGTGGTCCTGATGTGGAGAGCATATTCATCAGAAAAAGCCACAATAAGGGAAGGAACTGTGTAGGTGCCAGAGTACTGCTTGGGGCTGAGCAATCAGAAGTTTATCACTTGTCACCTGGGAAAGGAGGCATGCACTGCACCACACCTCCAGCCTGCCCTTTATCTAGCCAAGAGCAACCTCAGCCCCACCAGCTCCGAGGACAACTTGTGTATTCATGGCCTTGGCTTTCTGCCCTGGACTTTCCTCCCAAGAAGGAGAGAGGCAGGAAACTCCCACCCCTATCGAGCAAACACAGTCAAAGTGACACTTAAACATGGTCTGCCAAATCCTTCTTTTACTGCCTTGCTGCACCCACTGGGCACTGTCATGCATGCGGAAGTGCAGGGGAAAAAGGGATCATACAAACTGTAAGCAAATAAATTCAAGGTGCCTTCTAGCATATGCTTAAGAGCACAACAATAATGCATCTTATGGTGTACATAAGTCTGTGCTTTCCTCCATTTTCCTCTCAAGTACTTTTATTTCCATTTATACATATTCCGTGAAAAAGTGATTAATAGTATGACAGAATTTGGGGAAAAAAAGCTCTGATGAAGCTGAAAATCTGTTCGACAAATATTTGGCTGTGCTGCAGCATGACAGGCAACAAAAAATGCATACAGGTTTGTTTTTCTACTAAGCAGCCAACTAGTGGTGTGATTTTACAGTGCTGAAGTGAACACTCAACAGCAAACAGTGGTTTCACCAGTGTTGAAGTTTCTCCCCAAAGCAGTCCCCTGGTGTTATGTATGTGCTGCTGCTTGTGAGGTTGAACAGTGATAACCTGAAGACAAAATTATTCCACTTCAACATCAAATCACAGAAAAACATTTATGCTGGAAAATACCTCTAAGATCATTGAGTCCAGCCACTAATGCAGCACTGCCATGTTCACCACCATGTCCCCAAGCCCCACAACCTCACACCTTTTGAACACTTCCAGGGATGGTGATTCCACCACTTGCCTGTTCCCATGTGTGACCACCATTTCAGTGAAGGAATTTATATCCAATCTAAACCTCCCCTGGTGTAACTTGAGGCCGTTTCCTCTCCTCCTGTGACTTTACCTGGGAGATGAGACCAACTCCCACCTGGCCACAAGGTCCTTTCAGGGAGTTGCAGAGAGTGAGATACTTTACATTCAGAGCTGAACTCTGTGAATGCTTTGACATCAGAGCAGGAAAAGAATAAGGTCCTGTGGAATGGGCAGACCACCACTTTCCCCCACTACCCTTACAAACTGTTACAGGCTTGGTTCTGTTCTTTATGCAGTTGATGAAACTTATTTTATATTAGGTGTATTTTATTTATTTATTTTATTTTGTATTAGGTGTACTTCCTTGTTACTGTACCTGTCACAGACAAGCTATGCAATTTGGAGCATCTGTGTTTTGCAGGCATAAGAAGTCAGGGGTGGCTTTGGATTTTGTTTTGCATTAGGATGGGAACTTGCACTCCCAAAAATACAGCTGTATTGTTAGAAGCATTGAACTTGGCATGAACACTGTTCTTTTGTTGTTGCTTTTTTCCTGTTTCTTTTAAATGCATTAGGCCTCTTTCTGCTTTATTCAGACAGAATCACTTCTGTACAGCTGCCTGGAAGTGGTATTTTTTATGTTTTTTTTTTTTTTTTAAAACATCACCATCCAGGCAAAGAAAAATGCTGTAAAACCAATGAAGTTTTTTACTATTCTTTTGTAATTCTTGTACTGCATCTAGCACACTGCATTAAAATTTGCTCTGGCCTTTTGCCTCCATCACAAAATGCAGGAAGGCATTGCAGGAAAAGCAAAATCACCTCTTCAGTACACCAGAAGCCTTCAGCTAGTACCTAAAGTTCTCATTATCCATGGCCAGCTAAGATGCACATTTTTTCTTGGCAGCTTTCTTCTGAAGCTCAAACAGAGCCTCTCTCCTGATATTTGCACCATGAAGTGTTTAGAAATTAACTAATGGCCCTCTGCTAACTTTTGCCAAAGTGGAAATAGAAAAGCAGTGCCTTTTTTTTCCAGATCATGTCCCCCGTGGCTGGTGAGATGCCTGACCACTGCCATGGTGCTGCCAGGCTCCCTAGCAGCCAGACCGGCTGGCACAGGCACTGCAGCTGTTCACACAGCACAGCTCCTGCAGCACCTGCTTGGGAATAGAGGGAGGGAAAACCCTGACCCGCCCCACCAACACCATTATATTTACCAAGAAATACTAATAGCAGAACCCAGGCAGAGTTTGCCTTGGCTGACCCTCCTCTGACAAGTCTTCTCCCTGGGAAAGGGGAGTGTGAGAGCTCCCATGTGCCACCGTACAAAACAGGCTTCTAAGGCAAAGATCCAGCCCCACCCTGCAGGTTCCCAATGCCTTGGCAACCTCTCCCTTTATCCTTGCAGGAGATCTTTTACTTCTATAGGGCTAATCCTGGACAAAGAGCTGGTGTTGCTTTGATACACCCTTCTACAAAGTGCAACACACAGGCAACGGCTGATGTTGGTACAGAGCTTTCTGTTTCACTGAGCAGTGTTTCAGTTTGGGACATTTGACCTTTCCGTTGCTGGAAAAAAGCATTTGTTATCTCACCATCCTGTGGAGGAATACTTGGGAAAGGACGCGTGGGAGAAAGGCAATGATAGTGGAGAAGAAACTTCCAGAGGATGTTGTTTAGTTCTGCAAAAACACACTAATAAAAGTTGATGCTTAGAGACAGGAGTATTTGAAAACTTTTTAAGAAACTGCATCCAATTACAGCAGACAGCATCTTAGTGAAGATTTGGAATAGAACACCTTGGGAATGAAGGGAGGAGATGTACATATATCTGCCAGCAGATCCAAACAGGAAGGTTTTAGCCAGGAAGCAGCTCGGCCTTTATCTCTTTTGCACTTAAAAATTATTAATTTCTGTGCTTTAATCATAAAATGCTCATGCAATTAATGTGCTCGGTAGCCTTTACCTCTTTTGCACTTGAAAAATTATTTATTTCCTTGTGTTAATCAAAAATTTTTCACAAATTTAATATCCTCAGATTACTGCCTGGAACCTAAAGCTTTCTGTTTTTCAGGCAATGAACCTAAAATACAGCTATGTCTTATCTGTGTGAAATGAAATTAAGATGAATTTGGAAAACACACAGAAAATATGAAGTGATTCTCAAGTTCCGGACATGAGGACTGTTTTGAAACTTTAATTTACACTGTATTTAGTGACACCTATTTCCTCTTCTCATTTTAAGACTTGTGACAAGCAGTCATGAGACAAAGGACACCAGAAGGTACAAACACATGACAAAATGTGAGCTCTTCCCAATTATGAGCTACTTAAAGATGCTTCAGTATGTTAAAAACAGATTAATAACTTTTGCCACGACCTCACTAAAGTAACACTACTGAAACTGATCCATACTAGTTACAAGACTTTTTAATTACTAGTAAATAGCTAATAAAAGTTCAACTTCAAGTCGGATGCATCAAAATTTTCCCTCTACAAAACGCAGCTATGTCACAAAACTGATCAGAAGCTTATGGTCTTTCATTATTAAACTCTTTTCTTCAACTTAATACTTTCTCCACCCCACAAATACAAACCCTATTTAAGAACAACTTCTGTGCAAGGACCATTTAGTTAGCCTGCACTTGCTATTTTTACTGTTTCTAGGCATTCCCCTAGAAAGAGGTTTTTCCTGTAAGACTACAAATAAGACCGGTAGGCATAAGTCAAAACAAGCGGAATTCAAATAAACGTCAACAGTTTGCATTGACAGATGAACTTGTAGCCCACAATCAACCACTCCTCACACGCATTTGGCAACAGCTCTGGGCTTCTCTGTTTTTGTTTTCAGTCCTTAGAGTGTGTTCAAATCACTCTTGACAAACAAGCTTAGCTCACTCTGTGCAGGCAACTTTGCAGAAGCCTGTCCTTTTCACATGGAAAGCACCTGCTGCAGCAATCACAGCAAGAGCAGAAATCTTAAATACTTCTCTACTGACTCCTTACTGTGGAACCTCACACATTTAGAGTCCTGACAGTTTCTAGACATCCCAGAAGAAAAACAGTCATTGCAACTCTTCCATGAAGCAAGCTCCAACTCAAACTCAAAATTACCTTTGTAATAAATCAGACCATCAAACATACACACATTTGTACAGACAAATTTATTTACATCCGGAAATAATTTTGCATTTTTACCTGTGCTGTCACTAAGAGACACCTGTTTCATATAAAATCTTGGGATCACAGTCTCCAGAGCATGACAGAAGTTTGCTGCTACTACACAGGACCAGCAGAGCTTTTTGGAGCTCACTTTTTGGAGCATCTACGCAGATTGAAGTTATTCGCAGATAACCAAAACTTCCACTTTTTTATTATCAAATTATCAAAATTGCATTTCAGAAATAAGAATGTTTCCACCAGCTTTTATAAATAAACAATATAAAGCAGCTATATTTATATTACAATTATTTATATATTTTCCTTCTTACAGAATCTACACTTCAGTTAGACTAAAATATCAGTATAGTGATTTCAACTATCTGTTCTCTGAAGGCTCTTCTGCATTTAAGCCTTTTCATTTCCACAGATTTCCAAGCACAATCCCTATGAAGAGCAGAATTCCTACAGTACGATTTGAAGCAAATTTTTTCCAACAGTCTTCGGGCTTGTCTATGTCCAAAGTGTAAATCTGCAAAAGTACAGTATAACATTAAAGGATTATTATTATTCTACAGATTCATAAATATCTTACAGATCACAAAATTATCTGCAGCTTCAAAAAATTATTCTTAAGCTCTAAAGACTATCCTTAACTCCACAAGAAACAGGAATACTCTGCGTTTAATTTTTTTTTTGCATAACTGGCATCTGTGTTTGACAGATTTTTTTCAACATACAGCAGAAAAGTCAAGGATCTCATAAGAACATAATTCCCAGACCATCTCAATGGAAGCCCAGTTACTGGTGTGTCTGGATTGATACTTAAAAGTGCAAAAATATCTGGGTATGTAAATAAGTTTTGAGATTTTCCTCAGTAGGTTGCCACCTAATTCTTCAATGTAACTTTAAATAAAAATGAATGCACTTTTCCATCTCTGTTGTTCTATGTTTCAGTAGAGATAAGGCACTGGAGAGCCAGCAGTGAACCAGAGCAAGTGCCAGAGCCTGCCGTGCCACACAGGGCTGGTTTCAGTCCAGTTGCTCTTAGCCAAGTCCATGCAATTCCCTTCCAAACAAGGACCAGGACACCTGCAATAGCAGCCAGAAGGCCTGGCTTACCCACATGGCAGCTGTCTGCTATGAGTCACAAATAAAAGTGGGAAAAAAAAAACCCAACAAAAAAAATTCCCAACTCACAAGGTACAGCAAGAACAAATTTACTGAAAAAATATTCCCAAAATCAAAATTTGGTGCAGAAGTCTTGAGCACAATAACAAGAGGAAATGTTGAGCAAAATGAGTGGAAGGATTAACAGAGAAGGAGCCCCAAAAACCTCAAACTTTGCACTTCAGCCTTTGAAAAAGTTAAAATAGAAAGAAGTACTTGACTGAAAGAAGTGAAACCTTCCCCAGGAGATCTGCTTCATTTGTGGCTGTAGAGAAAACAGGGGTGGGTCCTGGTCAAATAATCAAAAAAAACTCTTCACAAGCTTCTCAAACACGATGTGATCCACGCCCTTAAGAACCTGTCAGCTCCTCAGACACTGGGAACTTGAAACACTGAACTGGCAAATTAAACTAAACAGCAGCTAAGCTATTCTTTCAGAAACACATGGAAAGTAGAAGATGTTATTTTTCTACTGGCACACCTCTTGAGAGGGATACAATTTGATATCATCATGACCAAATTTTTCTGCCTCAGGCAGAAAAATTCAGTGAATCAAGGAAATCTTGGAAATCCTGATCCTCAAGCACCTTATGCAGCTTTCTAAACTCAGTTAGACACAATGAGAAATCTTGAACAAGAAGATAAGCATAAAAATATTTAAGCAGGACTATACTAAAATAATTCCTCAAAAAGAAGCTACTCTGTGGTATACAGAACAGTTCTGCTCTTTTGACTTTGGCAGTCCACACAATTGTGAATTCCCCATCATTTATACTCATTAGTCTGCATCCCCACTTACAAAGATCCTTAAAAGTGGTTCTCATTTTATGACAAAACAACAGCACAAAGGCTCTCTGACAATTCAAACTGTAAATGATAATGCAGAGGACATAGGAGTCTTTTCCTCATACATTTCCAAGCACAGTCACTATGAAAACAGTGACTGAGTGCCAGACTACATCACCACAAGGATTCTCTTACCCACTGATATGTTTAATATCCATTACCTGCATGAGCTCCACCCACTAAAATGCAACATTGTGATCAATGTGCTTTATAAAAAGTTCCCCATCACCAATCCAAATTTAGCTTCTCAGACTAGTAATGGTTTTACTACTTGCAATACACAATACTCTGCCATTACTTACCTATCAACACCAGCAATTAATTTTTGAATAGACTGACTTGTCACTTACTACAACACTGTATAACACAGTTGTTAGGATTCAGAAATAACAAGATAACAAGATCCTATCTGCATCCTTTACTGACAAAGCTAATCTCTTTCTTTCTGTTATTCATAAAAATTTCTAAATGAATGCAACTACAAGACTGAATTGGATTGTTCTCTGCTTTAAGAGAACTGTCAATTAACATAAAATTATAACGCTAACATCTGCTATTATGCGTGCCAGACACTGCAAGAACTGAATCAGAACAGTCAACACCACAGTATTTTGCAGCACACTGAGGTGGATCTAGCAGCAGCTGCTGCTGACAGTGAGAAGAAAACCCTTTCCTTGAGATCACAGCTTAACATGTGGCACTTCTCTTGGTTACAAACAAACTGAAACTCAGTGCTCCACTGTTTGTGGTCAGGACTGAAGGTCTCCTCAACCAAAAGGTCTGCAAAAGGTACTTCAGAAGACCAAGCTTATTGTCAGAAGACTTTAGTTCTCTTTACAGGAACTGCTTTTCATGGGTAGCTCATTAACTGATGGGAGTTGAAAAGCCCTCTGACTTCTTAGTAAGAACTTCCTCATGGAAAAAGTATGATAAATCCATCAAACCTGGTGTGCCAGGTGAGCCCCTACGGTGGCCACAGCCGAGTAATACGGGAGGGTTTGGCTGCAATTGACCCCTGTCACACACAAACTCAGGAGCATTGCCAGGCTGAAGCCACTGAGCCACTGCTTTGTGTCCTTCCTGAAATGCAATGCAGTTGACTTCACACCAATCATGATGTCGTCCCTCTTATCCTGGAATGAAAAGATGAATTACCACAAAATCCATAATCCAATGCCATTTCATAAGAAAAATAAAAATGAAGGACTTGCTTAAATCTTCTATACTTCTTACTAGGAGCCCAATTTAAGGGCAGTTGTAGGTCCCTACACTAAAATTTAAACTAGAAGGCTGGCCTTAGAGCTGTTTAGCAGCCAGGAGTTCATACCAATGTCAAAGATATTTCCACAACACAAAAGCATAAGAGCACAAAGGGTATTGCACTTCCATCTTTCCACCTGACTTGTAAAACCTTGGCAAACAGCAATTAAAATTTTTAAGGGCTGGGACTTCTTTGGGACTGCTTCAGCTCAGCTGCAGGTGAAGAACTGCAAGAGGTTAGTTCTGCTGTTTGACAATAAATTTGTAAACAAAACACACAAACTTGTGTGTTTAAACACTGGTATCCGGAAGGTTTCACTGTCACCCTACCTGATGTGCATAAATGGTGTCGTACACCAGTGTCCACATGACTCCAGCAAAGTACAAGGGCAAACACACAGACCACTCACATGACCCTTTGATGGCAGACCAGCCAAGAAGGGCTCCCCAATTAAATGTAAATCCTAAAAACATTAAGAGAATTTAAAAAAATGGAAGTTACAAGAATGCTAGCAGCAATTAAATACAATTTATCTGAGAGTGTATCATATCAGCAGCCTTTTATATAATACCAACATCTCCATTTTTCTACCACTTATCTTCAGGCAGGTAATAAATATAAATAATTTGACATTTAATACTCTGGACATGCAAGAAAAATTACATATGCCACACATTTTTCCCTAATTTGAGTTTGACTTCATTAGTGTAGGGAAACATTTGCACAGAACTATTCTAGAATACTCTAACAACAGGTCTGAAGGTAAAATGCTCAGGTGTCAGTGTAACAAAACATGTCAGGATAACTGGCTGCAAAACAGTACACAGCAGCCAACTATGGTACTTCTAGCCTGAAAATGACAATTTTTGGTCAAAATTGAAGCTGAAGACAGCTGGAATATGAGAGCCAATATACACAGGTTTATTTTAGTAGCTCAACCCAAAAGACAAGCACCATCAGTGTTGCAGTGTGTTGCAATGTCCTGTTTTAAACTTCCGGGTCCCTTCCCATGTGTGCCTATACCTTCTCCCTTCCCCCTCACCCCTTGCTGAGTGTGCCCTGTCAATCAGGCTAACATACCAGCAAGGCGTCGTGTGATTGGTCCCTCAGGCCTGGGGGACATTGGATAGGTGTCCCTAGTCCCTTGAGACCCTGCCCCTTTTACCTGGTTGGTAACTCACCTGTCCCCTCCCCTTTCCCCTGTCCCTGAGCTTATAAGGTTAATGAGACCATGCGGCCGGTATTCTGTTAGCAGCAGTTGCCCCGGTGCAGACATCTCTGTACCCATGGAATAAACATCTGGCAACCCTCCAGCAGAATCCACTCCTATTTTCTCTTCACCATCGCCAGAAGCTCTCTCTCCTGAGGTAAACGGAGTCCTGACAAGCCTGGACTTGCGCCTGTGCCCCGCTGCACTCTCCAGCAGCCAAGGTATCTCTGGGGTAAAACACCACAGTGCTGCCTTTGGCCCAGCAGCGAGGGTCAGAACTGGCCCAGGCACAATCTAACTGGTTATATTGGGATCATACTCCAATATATTGGCGTCCCTGGGTGGGCGGAGTGACTCCACAGCCCGAGAACGGACTCGCAGTACCTCAGAAAAGCTTCTAGCAGCCGTGCATCCAGCTGAAAGGAGCCTGGCTTCAAGACTCCCAGCTAGAGACTTTGGGAATATTCCCAGAAAAAGTTTCATGGACTGTTCGGCGCCTCTGGAAAGCCCAGCTTCTGTTTGGTGAGCAGATTTTCCAGAGGAAGAAAAGGGGAGCCTCTCTTGCACCCAGAGAGAGGTCCTTTTCCGGTGGAGACCTGCCTGCCTAGACCCAGCCTACAGCTTCCATTTCACGTGAGTATCTCTGCTTTCGGTAGAGCAGAAGCTCAAAAACAGACTCTGCCGTGAGTTCTGTTCCTTTTTGCCTTTGCATTTTTGGCTGCGCAGCCCCACAGACGGGAATTCATAGCGTTCTAGCTTTAGTTTTCTGCCGCGTGTTTCACTGTCTTTTAGAATTCGCGCCGGAGCGGGATCGCTCTCTGCCCTTCCCCCCCGGCTCAGCAGTGTGCTCGGACACGTGTTAGGAGACTCTCTCTCTTTCTCTGTGCGGGGGAGGGGGGGGGCTCTCTTTCCAC